TGGTTGCACGGCGACGGAGGCCTTAGGTGCGAACTTCGATGCTCTCCTCTGCACGGCGGTCAGCGCGAGCTTCGTGCCGTGAGCGAAGGAATCGGTCTTGATGGAATCGGCCGGTCGCGAGGCTCGTTGTGTGGAGCGGGAGAAGAGCTGGCAGCTCAGCCGGGAGCACTGGAGGGAAGTGGTCGCCATGGCGTGTGCAAGCTTCGTAAATGCGCGATCCGGCAACCAAAGGACCGGTTTTGCGGAATAGGGACGTCCTCTTCGCTCCAAGAAAGCTCCTTCGGCTGGGATGCTCAAGTACGGAAAATTAGGACTCCAGCTTCTGCGCTTACTTTTCTCTCTGGACTCACAAGAGTTATGAGCACAATTCAACCTACAGACTAGGAGTAAGTAGTGGTTCCTGCACTTACAGAATGGGTACAAAGACGCTTAGTTAAGCGCTAGGCTCAACAGGTTGTAAAAATCCCTCGGTACGGTGGGGCTGGTGGGGTGTAAGAGGTGGGGGGGGAGGGATCACCAAGGAACAGGATGAGTCGCTGTTGGGGGAGCCAATCTCGAGGTGAGGCTGATCCGCAGGTGAGGCTGAATTCACTGGGGTTCTCGAGTTTCCAAAGTGATGGGGCGAGGCCAGGTGGCGACATGGCGGGCGCCGCGTGGATTCCGCAAGCCAAAATGGCTCAAAAGTGCTGCCATGTCACCCTAGACGACAATGGACTTTCGAGCATCCTCACAAGGATGGCCTGTCGGCTCGTCCCTGAACCTGGAAATTTTCATTAGTATCGACCTCCTTATCCGTTTTCATCAATTAATCTTGCTTATCGAAGAAGCATACGCGAATCTGTAACACTTGAATTTACAAGTTGTCTTTCTACTGTTCTGTTTCTTAACGCACCAGCTTTCAACGCACATGGTCAGTTCAACCCATTCCTGATCATGATTTCCCCACAGATCCTTCACAGAGGTATGCCACGCTTCTAGCTTTTACATTCAGCTTCAGAAAAGCCTTTTTAATGGTCGAAACATAACAAGCGCGTGTGCTAACCGCGTCTCCTCGCGTGTGCTAACCGCGTCCCCTCGCGTGTGCTAATCGCGTCTCCTCGCTGTCAGGGTTCAATACATCTGTAAGAGATGGACAAAGCCGGCGGTAACTCCCAGCAAGCAGCCAGGCAAGGAGTCACGCTTCCTGGTCCACGCGAGGCTCTTTCCGGCCTGTTGCGTCACGCTCAGAAGCTCGCTGAAAGGAAGCCAGTCTGCGGGACACAGCAGCAGCAGCAGCAGCCGATCCGATGGCTGCAGACGCAGCTCCAGTCGTTTCAGCATCATCTGAATCAGATTCAGCAGAACTCGCATTGGATTGAGGGTAGTGAAGCCCACGCTGATAGATCCGAACGTCGTGTCGACGATGTACGCCAAAGCGTTCCTTTTAAGCTTCGTCAAGCTGCTGGAGGGTGGTTTAGGGACAGGCAGAGGGACGTTGCCAGGCTCGTTGAGGGTTTCCCGCAGGAGGCCGGAAGGCTATTGGGAGGTGTAGCTGGGGGACTAGATCCGATCGGCGACAGTTGTAACAATGTCGCTGACGCGTCGTTGCTCCGCTTTCGCCATCAGTTCGCCTCCATTGCGGCGTCGTATGCGGGGAGATTCGTTGACGCTGTTGTTGTGGATCCAGCGAATCAGCGGCTGGCTTCGTTACAGTCACCTTCGGCATCGGATCTCGCATCTGCTGCCGAATCCGTGTCTGCTCTAGGAGCGGAAGGTCACGGTTTCGAATCTCCCGCGAGACACGTTTTCGACATTGCCATGTCGGCGGACCAAGTAGCGAAGCGGTTGGACGGTGTACCCGTGTACACTGTGACTAACACTGCAAGCGAGTTCGTGCTTATATCGGATATGGGAGGGAACAAGTCGCTCGGGCTGTTCTGCTTCAGGAGAGAAGATGCTGAAATGCTGCTGGCGCAGGTGATGCCCAACTGTTGCTGGCTCAAATCATTCCTCTCCTGGCCTATCTCCTTCATAGCAACAGTCCTTCATTAGATACGTCCTTGCTTCTCGTTTTTTTTTCTCGTATCAACGTATCCTCCCGCCTCTTTCTCTATCTTCCCATCTACTCGTTCTCTCCTCCGCCTCTGGCTGTGTGTAGGTGAAGGACCGCGAGCCGTCACTGGGGCGTGGGGCGAAGGTGGTGCCAGTGTCGCTTGACAAGGTGGGTGCCGCGTGATTTTAGATGGTGAGCCTGCCTTAATAGGAGTTGTAGCAGGTGAGTGGGTTGTGGGGGCGATAGTGGTGCATGTGTCATGTCACGTCCAGGTGAGCATCGCTTCAGTGATGACCCTTGTACTGCGAAGCTGCAGCATCATCGTGTCAATGAGCACAGCATATGCCCGCCCTCTGAATTACCTGGCTTTCTTCACCCTCCTCACTCCTTATTGTATCTTTTGCCAAGATTTCTTCGAGCCCTTTTCCGAGAACCTCTTGGTGCCCATTGCTGCATCTCGTCAACCTTCCTCTGAGCTCTCGTCTCTCTGCTCCTGCATCTCTCGCATTGCCTGTGTGTCCCTGCCACGCACCCATCAGGTGTACCAACTGTCAGCAGAGGGTATTGCATTCCGCTTCCTGCCTGACCCCACTCAAGTCAAGCACGCCCTTCAGGTGAGTCAAGCACGCCCTTCAGGTGAGTCAAGCACGCCCTTCAGGTGAACCACGCCCTTCAGGTGAAGCGGTCTCTCACTCTCTAGCTCGCTTCGTTCCGCTGCCTTCTCCTCTTCACTCTTCTTTGCCCTCATGTTATAACTGTTGTTTTGTCAATAAATCTTTTCCCCCGTCAACTTGCAGGTCTTGTCAGCATCTGGAGAGATAGCACGGGCATTCGACGGGGTTCCTGTCTTTCAGGTGCTGACTCACCTCTGCCGTTCATTATATTGATAACTTTCTGTCCTGTGATGGGTCCGGTATTTGATACCATCATGCCCATCTCACCCTCACTCCCACTCCCTCTGTTTGGTCTCTCACTCACACTCCCTCTGTTTGGTCTCTCACTCCCACTCCCCCTGTTTGGTCTCTCACTCCCACTCCCTCTGTTTGGTCTCTCACTCACACTCCCTCTGTTTGGTCTCTCACTCACACTACCTCTCCCTGCCTCGTCTGTGGCAGTCGGAGAATCTCATCCTTCGCAGCAAGAACAGGCGCTTTTGCCCCGTCTTTTTCAACAAGGTACACCCTTTAATCAATGTGCGAGGGGCGTTCTGTACCCTTTAGTGCCATTGCTCACTCCCGGGCATGGTATTGTTGGTGTTCCCATCCCACCCCAATCACCACTTGGGTTGTCATCCCCATTTTCAGCTCCCATCTTTCCTTCATTCGTCTCCTATTTCTCACTCCTCCCTCCCACCGTACTCCATGCTTTCTCCCTCGTATCTCCCTTTCGCCCTCACTCCCTTAACTTATGTTCGGGCTGCTCACAGGAGGATTTGGATGCTGCGCTGAAGAAGGCTATCAAGCAGAAGCAGGCAGTGAACCCCACCATGCGAGTCACCAACAACATACAGGTGTGATGCCAGAGAAGGGGGGAAGACTGCAGGGTGTTTTGGGAATTTCTCAAAAACACACCCTGCAGCTAGAGGGCTATCAAGCAGAAGCAGGCAGTGAACCCCACCATGCGAGTCACCAACAACATACAGGTGTGATGCCAGAGAAGGGGGGAAGACTGCAGGGTGTTTTGGGAATTTCTCAAAAACACACCCTGCAGCTAGAGGGCTATCAAGCAGAAGCAGGCAGTGAACCCCACCATGCAAGTCACCAACAACATACAGGTGTGATGCCAGAGAAGGGGGGAAGACTGCAGGGTGTTTTGGGAATTTCTCAAAAACACACCCTGCAGCTAGAGGGCTATCAAGCGGAAGCAGGCAGTGAACCCTACCATGCGAGTCACCAACAACATACAGGTGTGATGCCGGGCAGGGAGGGGTTGACTGGAGGGTGCACACGTGATTACAAGTTCAAATGGAGCACCGTTACGTTGTGCATATGTGCAGTGTTCTTATCCCCGTGTACTGTACAAGTGATGTAGAGCCTTGGACAGTGTGACCATACAGAGGTGCGCTATAGAGTGTGGCTGGCTCAAGCTGTGAAACTCTTTTGTCCCTGCTGCTTTTCTTTGTTTGGTTCTTCTTACCCAGGTTGGCAGTTTTGAAGAAGTACTCAAAATGCTTGAGGTGAGCTTTTTGGAGCTACTCTTTAATTCATGTTAATGAATGGACCAAAACTTCGCCCTTTGGCATCTTTTACGGCAGGTATCCCTGCTACCGTATTCCATTCAAACCAGGTTTCTATCTTTCCTCCCACTACCCTTACAGAGGAACGATGAGGACTCGTTGTGGGGGGACCTGCTCTTTATCCCACCGGGTATGGATGCAGAGGGGTTATTAGGCAAGGCGGTGGCAGCATCACCACCGCAACCTCCTGTCCTCTGCTAGAGTTCCGTTTTCCAGCCTTTTGCAGGCCATCCCAGAGCAGTGCATTTGATCTGCTTGTAGGCTCATGCCGTATGACTGTTGTGCTGTGGCTAATCCCAAGTCTGGCTATTTTGGTGATCAGGGTTGATGAATGCCTACTGGCACATGAACACTGTCTGTAGCCCGTCCATCTCAGATTTAATGCTGTGGCTATAGCCCATCCATCTCAGACTGACTTGGGAGAGTCGGTTGAATGCAGTGGCTTTTCTTCCAATATACAACCACAAATCATAACAAGGTTTGAGCAATGAAAACAAGAGAAAGCAACTACACCTTGCAGCAGCTCCCCTATTGTGCCCCAGCATTTCTACTAGGTATATACCTAACCCTTAGCACAAGGGGAAATCTGCTCAGGCTTGCAACAAGCACCTATAAGCACCTAAGAGAGTGCTTTAAGATCCAGCACCACATCATACCCTATTGAACCGTTGCAAATGATAAATTCAAATGCTTCGCAGCTTATTTCGGTACTGTTGGGTACACCAGCAACGCTCAGGACTTGGCGAGGGGCGAATCGGGGTACGCGAGCTTCTTCATGTGCTTCTCACGCGGATACCTCAGATTGGTGGCCAATCCGACGGCTTCCAGCAGCTTGAGGGTGTACCACGTCATATCGATCTGCCACCACTCCAGACCGTGGCGCGCCGAGTACTCGAACGCGTGGTGGTTGTTGTGCCAGCCCTCGCCGAATGCCAGAATGCCCACCCACCTGGAAAAAGCGTAGCATATAATCGGGCGTTTTCGAGGAATAGGAACAACCTTATTCTATTTGCTTCTTATTTTCCCATCGGTTAGAATTGTTGACATGCTCCTAAGTTGTAACAGGCGAAATGGGGCGACTATTGTGATGCGAGTGCGATGGGGTGGGAATACGGGTGAGCAGTGGGGATTAGGGAGGATGAAGAGTGAGGCCGACAGAGAGAGAATGGGCGCGACGTACCAGTTGTTGCGGGAGAGGTCGCCCGTGTTCCACGGCTGGTCGCCCCACACGTGCGACGCGGAATTCACGAACCACGTGATGTGGTACACCCACACTAGGCGCAGAGCCTGCACGCATAACACATCATTCCATATAAATAAATATACATTAAACGGTTAGAATGAAGACGTTGTAACGACGACTTTTACAAACCCCCGAAGGAGAGGTGAATGCTGATGAGTCAGTGAGGTGCTGCCGGTTGACGACTTACCCAGCCCCAGACGACGAACGGGAAGCCACCGAGCGCGTAGAGCGCGGCGACGGACGCGACGATGTGCCACACGTAGGTCTTGTCGATGAACTGGTAGAACGGGTCCTTGGTCAGATCGTAGATGTTGTTCTTCCCCTCCAGCTGCAGAGTTACCACGTACGATAAATCAGTAACCGCGTTACGAATCTGGACATTTGAGTTCATTGAACGGGGGTAATAACATGGAAAGAATAGACGTACCCTGGCGTTAAGTGCCTCATTATCGAGCAGCCAGCCGGCGTGGCTGTACCAGAACCCCTCATAGGGCGTATGGACATCCTCGGGTTTGTCGCACCAGCGGTGGTGCACGCGGTGCGCGCTCACCCACTCGAACGGGGGGCCCTGGCAGGCGAGCACGCCGCAGTATGCGAAGGTGTACTCAAGCCACTTGGGCAGTATGAAGCTGTGGTGAGTCAGATGGCGATGGAACGACAGCGTGATGCCGAACATACCTGCATCACACAGAGAAACGCACGATCTCATGAGCATGAATATTGACGCTGCCATATCCCGTCAAAACCACGGAAGAAATAACACGGGACGAGCTAGCATGACGGTGAGCGATCACGGACTTGGTCGCGGCCATTCGGTAGGAACTGATCGGACCGTTCCGGGTGCTCCGTGGCACGACGTCAGCACGCACCTGTGATGACGTACATGGCGACGAAGCACTCGAACGCCTCCCACGAGAAGGTGAAGGGCGCGGCGAGGGCGAGCAAGTGGATGCTGCCGAGAAACGCGGCGTATCCGATATCCTTGGGTAGCCACTCGCGGTTGAAGAAATAGGGGCGCTTCTTCACGGTCACCACGTCAGACAGCCAGACCTTGTGCGGCACGCCCACGTCATCCATTTCCTCGAGTTTCTCCAGGATCGTCTTGGGCGGCTGGTGCGGCGTGGTGAGGATGTCCTCTTGTTCGATCTCGATCACGGCGAAGATTCCCGCCGGTTTCCGCGCGCGGAGTTGGGGGAGGCGCGCGGGGAGGCGGAGGCTGGACCCCGCGAAGTTCGACTGCAGGCGCTGGCGAGGAGTTGGGGTCGATTTCGCGCATGCGACGGTTAACGGCACGGAGGCCGTGTGGGAAAGGAGAGCTGCCGCCATGTTTTCGCGCAGGGGCCAATCAAAAGGGCTTTTTCAATAATAATCAGGAATGGGCACGAGTATCACAAGCTGTGGTCGCTGAGCTGATAAACAAGCGAGCGAATCGAGTCTCGATTGAACGAATTGATCGCGAGAACCGCAATTGACAGATGAAGCGACCTCGAAAGATAAATTATGCTTGCGCTGTGCTTGCTTCTATATAAGCGTTCTCGGGCACGAGAGGTGAGCTGATGATGGTGATGGTGATGGTCGATCGGCAGAAAAGGAAGGGTGGGCAGAAAGCGGGGCGGGATTGCGTTCGATTGCCGAATTGTGTGTTGGCGGATCCCCACTGTAATGCTGGCATGGGGAACATAGCTTTCTGCCATGCACACACTGGGAACGAAGGCAGTTTGCGTGTGCTGCTGTTTGCAGTGGGGGGAGGACCGAAGGCGCCAAGAACGTCGCGCTGTCTTGTTGCCTGAGAATCGAGGCGAGGTCGTGGGGCGCAAAGATGAGGCGCAAAGGTCAGGCGGAACGATGAGGCGCGAAGGTGAAGAACAGAGGAGGCAAAGGTGAGGGTGCAAAGGTGAGGCGTGCGGGAGGCGCAAATTGAGGCGCATTGCAGCAACCCAAGAAACTGCATCTGCGCATTGCTGGGCCCTCCCGCACGCTCAAACCAGATGTCGCCGAACCGCGTCGAAGTCCCCGCAGCGCTTGTGGATAAAAGTCGAAATAAATGTTCAATCTGCTTGGCGAAATCACCCCTGTTACATCTAGTTCAGGAAATTCGCAAATCCGCAGCTGCCAAGTCGGAACGGATGGTCCATCGGGCTTGGCGGTATATTCAGTGGTTCCCACGAGTTAGCTTCACTGCGCTGTCATGTCATCTCCATCTGCCTGGACAGAATGGCGCGACCGCTGCTCCGCTGGCATGGCGGTGTTCCACGATAAAAGGACATCTCTGTGTGCTGGCAACGCGGTCCGGGATGGGCTTCTTGGGAGGATTGGTTCGCTTTCAACTGAGTCAGCCCTTTCTGATCTGAAGATAATTATGTACAACCAATCAAAACAATGAGTCGATAATAGATTCCCCATTACGAGAGTTGTGCATGCTGCAAAACTGGCGTACAACATTCAGTACTGCACGAAGCCTTTGGAAACTATTCAACTCAAAGAGTGTGAAGCTGGAGACAGCTTCCCTTTCTACCACGCTTGTAACCAGATGCTTTTGTGAGGTGAGCTTGGAGGAGCAGATGCAGGTGTCGCCTGCAAGCATACTTCACTCACTCTGTCAATCAAGAGATACCGTATCCACATACAACGCAGGAGAGAAACACCCTGGCGACAAACCCAAAGAACACTACATTATGTACAGTGTAAGCAGCGCCAGACCAAAACGGGCATGAGCCTATTGCATCAAAGGCCTTTCCCTCAATAATAAGTTGTAATTGTGCGATGATGACACAATGGCGAAGCATTTTCTATTCCCTGCGACCAAAGCAACCAGTCTAGCTCTATGCTTGGAACCTGTCAAGCACGAACGGAACGCAAAACAAGAAAGTAATTGTAACTCGCGAGAAGGGGAATTGACGGCATAGTGAAAACAGTCCAGTTCCAGCCTTCATACAATCCAGATACTTCCTCAAACTACCTTGTAGTGTCATCTCACCTGCTTCCCCACTGTACGCTCCAATCGCTCTCGAAGCCGCTCGGTGGCAACGATGCAGCACGCTCTAATCTCCACCTCTTCTTCCGAACCTATCACGGGAACAAGAAACCATGAAGAGCAGGTTGGTGAAAATCGAGACATCTTTTTTAGGCACCCTCTTGCCTCTCCACCCCATACATTTCCACACAAGTGAACAGAGGATAAAGCATGGAGCGCATACCGGTGCATTCTGTACGTGTACCAGACAAATACCTAACTTACCTGGAAGAATCTCTTGTTTGCCGTCCACAGCAGCAGCAAGGCCCGGGGCGTATCTGAGCACGCCTCTGCTTCTCAGCACGGCGGGGACCACATAGTCGGCAAACATGGTGAGGCGGTTGATGGATCGTGAACGTACCTGGAAAACCACCCAGCCTACCCGGGAGAATCTCTTGTTTGCCATCCACAGCAGCAGCAATGCCCGGGGCGTATCTGAGCACGCCTCTGCTTCTCAGCACGGCGGGGACCACATAGTCGGCAAACATGGTGAGACGGTGGATGTCTGAGAAGTGACCGAGCCCACGCCCATTGAACGCGCCCCACACATCTGCCACAAAGATCTGCGCCCTCTTGAAGAGCGCCACCTGGCGGCCACGGTAGATTGCGTGATCCTGGAAGTCTGGGAGAGAAAAAACGGGGAGGAAAGGCAGGAAAGGAGGATGGGGGAGGGGATGGGGGGAGAAGGGGAGGGGGCAGGGGGGAGATGGGGACAGTATAAGTGAGCAGCAAAAAACAAAAACAAAAAAAGGATCAAAGAGACTAAATTCTGGAGGCCATGCGGCCTTGCGGCTCAGCACCAGAACGCTGTGCCATGATGGACAGCACTCACAGGTGAAGTGTGTGGTGAGCAGGCACACTCACAGGTGAAGTGTGTGGTGAGCAGGCACACTCACAGGTGAAGTGTGTGGTGAGCAGGCACACTCACAGGTGAAGTGTGTGGTGAGCAGGCACACTCACAGGTGAAGTGTGTGGTGAGCAGGCACACTCACAGGTGAAGTGTGTGGTGAGCAGGCACACGAGCCTCTCTGCACTCCCCCCTGCCTCCTCCACCATGCTCGCCGCACTGCCACTGAAGCGCCGCAGCAGCACCTGCCCCACCTGCCGCGCTGCCTGCACCCGCTGCTGCTCCAACGGGAAGGGCTTCGGGCCAAGCAGAGCACGCAGGCCTGCGACTGGCAGAATCAGGTCAAGGGAATTCAGGGCGTTCAGGGAATGGTTGGTTTGAGGATTCTGCTGGTTCTCAAGTGGGAGATGGGGTGGGGGAGGCGAGGGGTCTCAAGCACAATGCGCAATTGACGAGCTTTACAAGAACGAGAGGTAAACAGAAGAGGCTGAAGGGAATGCGTACTAGGGAAGCACAAGAAGGGAGCGAGAAAATTTGCCAAACTTGCATGTCGACCTGATTCCATCAGCCAAAAGACTCCATCAATCAAGCAATCATCAGATTCTCATCGCGGATCAGAGAGTGAGAGAACTCTGTTGCACGCACCATCAAGCGCTGCGAGGCGGGCAGCACCAATGCTGGTGGGATCGCGCTGCACTGCTGCTCTTAGGCTGGACGCCAGATGCTCGTAGTGCAGTGAGGGGTCTGTTGTGGGCGTGAAGTGGATGGAGGGGACGAAGCGCAAGGAGTGGATGAAGTGGATAGGGGAAAGCGAGGGGATGATTGAGAAGGAATAAGAAGGATAACGAAATTTTGTAGGCCTGGTCTCGTGAGGCTCTAGGGGGGATGAGAAAGAGATGTTTGGCATGGGTCTGGTGAGGCTACTTGAGAAGGCGGTCCGCACAGAGTCTTACCATGGGTGGTTGAAGGGCACACCTTGGGCACACCAAGGGCACACCTTGGGCCCACCTTGGGCACACCTTGGGCACACCTTGGTCTCACCTTGGTCACACCTTGGTCACAACTTGGTCACACCTTGGTCACACATTGGTCACACCTTGGTCACACCTTGGGCACACCTTGGTCTCACCTTGGGCACACCTTAATCTCACCTTGGTCTCACTTTGGTCTCACCTTGGTCTCACTTTGGTCACACCTTGGTCAGACCTTGGGCACACCTTGGGCACACCTTGGACACACCTTGGGGCACACCTTGGGCACACCTTGGTCACACCATGTTGCACCACATGTTACCACATGTCACTCCATACCATGTTACCATGCTACCGTGTTATGATGTTACCATGTTACCAAGTTACCCGGCCAGAAGCAGAAGTTGAGGGCGTCGAGCAGCAGCAGGTACTGCACGGTGAGAGGCCCCCCATCCGTGAAATGCACTCCGTCGAAATTCCACGGCGGTAGTCTCAAGCCGTGACCTCCTGAGGTGATGCTTCCAGCACCGCCGGCTGTAGCGTCGGTTGTAGCAGCAGCTGTCTCAGGATTGGATGCAGCTTCGGCTGTTGGGCTGGCGGTAGGCTGAGAGCGATTTGACGGGCACAGCGCATCGGCAAGCGCCTCAACCGCTGGAAGGGTCAGAATGGGTGCGACAAGAAAAAGAAGCAAATCGCAAAAAAAAGCGAATGTTATCACAATTAGGTGCAGTGCAGATACGAGGAGACGACGAAGATAATTAGGTGCGGCGGAGCTAGAATAGACGGAGCCATGGACAGAATGACCAGTCACGAAATTAGGATCGCGGAGCTATTACAGAGCGGTCATCCATGGAGCCTAGGATCAACGCAGTTGAGACATACCAGCGAATTCCTAACGATTCAGACTACGAAGTTTCAGCCTCTTATTAATTCTGGATAAAAACACTAAGTCAGCAACACCCATGCAGGGGACAGATCGCTTATACATGCTATCAGTGAACCGTCCTTTGAGTCGCTTTGAGAGGTCGCGTCGATATAAGGAGTCAATATGGTCGAGTCTGTGGTCTAAACACTAAGGTCTCTCCGAGCTACCTTGGTCGACTCTAGTGTGTCAGTTTGGTATCCGTGAGCTACCTTGGTCGTCGATGGTGCAGTGTGTCGACTGCGACGCGACCCACTCGCACCCCTCGCGTAGGTCGCGCAAGCAGTCCTCTTCACCCGCGTCCATCGGCAATTGCTGCCACAGATGAAGGTTTCGTGCGATTAGCACAAGGAGCAATTGTAGAACAAAAGACAAGCTTACACGGAGCTTTCGTGTGACCATCAAAACGTCCCTGTGTCTGTGTTGATGAGTACAGCATTTGCCAGCAGAAAGCATGCAGTTCGATTGTGAAGGTGTGGAGCAAGGTCAGTGATACATGATTGCAAAGCGGTTCTGAGCTTTCAAAAGCTTTCTGGAATCGGTGTGACATGGTGCAGCTGAACGGGATGAGATGAGAATCTCCCACCAGATCCCAAATTCCGATTTCTTGCGTCGCCTCGCCGCTGAAGTCTGACAGTCCTGCCTCGAGCTTCTCCCCTGTCGCTCTCCGCGTTATTGGCTTCAGCTTTGGGATTTCGAGTGCAAACGGTAGCCGCTCACGGAATTACAGTAGCTACCACCAAATATTTATGGTACCAAGAATGTCACGACTACACAACCTAAAACCACAGAAATTGATTAGCCAGAAATTGATTACTGGGCACCTTGCCATGACTAGTTGGCTAATCGGACGCCATTGAAGCCTCACGTGTGATATCTCAACAAACGTAGCTAGCAAGCAAGCAACTCTCAGAGCTGCAGCCAGAGTGGAACACGGTCCCACACCCCATTTTGTGCCATCTGCATAAACTAGAAAGCGAGCTAATAGCCTTACCATGTCCTTCAATCTGCTCATTCAAATAGCACACAACTCCTGTGCCATATGCCAAATGTGCTCCACACGCTCAAGCGCAGAGACCGCGCTGCTGTGCATGCTGCTGTGATCCGAACTGCTGCTGTGGGTGCTGCTCCCAATCAGTGCACCTGCCATGATTCCCACACCAATCAAGCCTGGATCATTGCCCACCCACCAAGGCACCCTCCCCCGCACCTCCCACGGCCGCTCCTGATTGCTGCCCATCCATCCCTGCAGCACCAGCACCTACAGGACCCGCAGCCATGGGCGCAGGTGCAATCGGTGCCGGCGGGACGAGCGACTCGGGCTTTAAGTGCGGCAGCATCGCGTGCACCGCGCGCCACGTGGCAGTCCACAGGCTCTCCGTGTCTGACGCGTCGGTCACCTGCAGCACGCCCTGTGTCAGCATCACCATCAGCATATTCTTCAGCACCTCACCCACACTCTCCCTCAATGACTCTCCCCCTCCTCTCCCCTCCCCACCTCCTCCTCCCCTCCTCCCCCCGCCGCCCCCACCCCCTCCAGCCCTCATATACCGGTCCATCCGAAGCAGCACGCCGAGCCACAAGGCTCGGAACCCCGGGCCTGGCAGCGAAGCAAGGCTGGCAAGAAAATGCAGAAAAACCTTGGACAGCATCTTGACAGCACGGAGCAGAGACGCGTCCATACCCCGGTATTCCTTGGGTTTCTCCCGCAAATGCACCTCTAAAAGATCGTCCAGCAGGACAAACACGACCTGGTCGAAGCACGGAGCCCACATGGTGGTGGGCATGCGGAGGGGGTCGGCAGCGAGAAGGCAGCGCTGCAGCCACACGAGAGCATGGTTCCGCACGTCTTCTCTCTGGTCTGAGCACACCCGGCGCAGCGCGTGCAGCAGGCGCAGCCACAGGTCTGCCAAGTCCTGCCCTGAGAACCGCCCTGCTCCAGATGTGCCTCCCCCGGCTGCAGCAGCCCCTGCTGGTGACGAAGAGGGTATGGGGCTTAGTTGCGGGGGAGAGAGGGCGGCTGACGGGGGAGGTTGTTGCTGCGGGGAAAATGCACCGGAAACAGCACTGCTCAAACTGTCCCCCTCACTCCTACCGCCTCCTGCCATTGCTGCTGCTGTTGCTAGTCGGTCCGCCTCTGCTGCTTGCTCCATCTCCCCTGCTACTCTCCACTCCAGCAGACAGTCTATCAAGCACCCCAGCAGGTCCATCGCCCGCTTCGACCGCTCCGAACCTCCCACCCGAGCCTCGGCGAAGTCTCGAGCCGCGTCGAGGAACGGGATGAAGTTGCACGGGGACACGCAGGGCGGCCCATCAGTGCAAACCTCCCCATAATCCTCCACAGCACCAGCAGAGAAATCCGACGCGAGAGCAGCGGGAGATGCACCGGGAGCAGCAGCACCCGGGGGAATGGGCGCCATGAGCCACGAGAGGGCTTCGAACCCGGGAGCAGCAGCATCAGGATGCCTGGCTGTGATGGCCAGCAGAGCAGCGAGCGTTCTCCACCCAGGAGGCGACTTCACTCTCCGCAGCGCCCCGCTCTGCCGCCCCTCCCTCACAATCCCCAACACGCCGCGAGTGATCCTCTCACAGAGGGCATCAGCCAGCCTGGCATCGAGTCTCAGCACGTGCTGCAGGGACCTTAGAAGCTCATCAGCTAGGGTTTCATCGGCTGCTGGTAGGAGCTTTCTGCACAGGCGGAGGAGACCGAAGACGGCTCGCTCTACCAGTGGGCCAGGTGGCGGACCCGCATGGGCCGACTGCATGATGATTGCAAGCTGGGAGGAGAGGAGCGGCCAGATGAGCAGCACGCGGGAGCGGTTACGTAGGGTTACCACGAGGAGCAGATCCAGGCAGAAGACTGCTGTGTCCTCTTCGTCGGGTGATAGAGGGCCGACAGCTATCCCTCCTCCACTCCCCACTCCTCCCCCCACAGACGCCCCACCAGCCACCCCCCCTCCCCCACCACCACCTCCTCCCCCCGCTCCCGCTCCTGCTCCCCCTCCGCCTCCTCTTCCCCCCATCCCGCCCCCACCAGCCCCTCCCCCCGCGCCCCCAGCACTCCCCCCACCAGCCCCACCAGGGCCCACCCCCAGCGCGCCCCTAAAAGCCCTGCCAGCAGCCCACACAATGGCCCTCACGAGGTGCATCAGTGCTTCTGCTTCTAGCCCCTCTGAGGTTTCCCGGAACAGCTCCTCGATCCGGCACGCCCCCACCGCCTCCTCCGTGCGCTGCCGCGCCGCCACCTGGCGCTCCGTGGGCTGCGCTGAGCTGGCGCCGCCGTACGAGTAGTCGTCATCAGAATCCAGAAGGAGCAGCTGGGAGAAACGCATCATCAGCCCTCCCCCGCCCCCGCTGCCGCTGCCGGCACCATTCTTGCGGGCTGCTGCTGCTGCCGGGCTTGTGATGGCCAGGGTTGATGTGGCAGCGGTGGTGGTAGATGATATAGTGGAGGAGGAAGGGGTGGGACTCGTTCCCATCTGCTGCTGCTGCGGCTGCTGCTGTGACTGTTGCTGCGGCTGCTGCTGTGGTTGTGGGGAGGCGTATAACCCCCCTGCGAATGCCCCGTCCTCTGTATCCTCTACCTCGCTAATAACACGAGCAGGCAGCAATCCTAGCTTGTGCAACCGAACCACACAGTCGAGCAGGTTCCGCCACCCTCCCCGAACCACCCCGCCGTGCCTGTTTGCCAAACCAAAGACAGTCACGGCGGCCAGCCGAGCCTTGGTGTCCTCTCCAAAAGCCACGGCTGCTGCGTTGTCCACTAGATCGGCGCCACTTGGCAGCGATCCGGAGGGGTTCAGGCGGAGCGTGGTGCATCGGCAGAGGGAGACCACTAGATCGTCCAACGCACCCGAGAACCCGTGAAAAGCCGCCACGTCAGCAGCGGCTGAGAACCCGTCAGTGCAGCAGCGGAGGAGGGACTCGTCGTCTTCTGTGTGGTCGAAGACAACTGATATGGCTGCTATGGCTGGGCCTGCCACTACTGCAAACACGTCTCTGTCTAGTTGGAGCAGGAAGAGGGAGGAGGAGCGCGGGAGGGAGAGGTTGGAGAGAGGAGGGGAGAGTGGGGAGAGGTGCTTGGATGGGGGGGAGGGGCGGGGTGGGGAGGAGGACTGCAGGAGAGGGGGGGCGGGAGGGAGGGATTCTGAAGTGAGGAAAGCGGGAGTGGCGGAGTCAAGAGACTGAGAGGGCGAGGCATCACATGCAGCATTGTCAGTGCTGGCTCTGTCCCCCAGAGCAGCAGCAACAGCACTGGCACCGATACCACTACCACCATCACCAATGCCATCGCCAGCCACAGCAGCAGCAGCAGCAGCAGCAGTAGCAGCAGCAGCAGCAGCAGCAGCAGCAGCAGCAGCAGCAGTAGCAGCAGAAGCAGGAGTAAACTCAGGCTCAGCACTAGATGCGAGGATGTAAGGCACGGCGGTCGGCGACCGTCGGATCAGCCCGAGCCAGCGGCTGAGATTCATCTCAGGGAAGGCGGAGGCGGAGGAGGAGGAGAGGGAGACGTCGGAGGACATCTTAATCTCGTTGCGGGCGATGGCATGGTAGAGCTCTGAGAGCAGCTCTCTTGGGAGGTCCTTGCCGTCGTTGATCTTCCGGTTGTTGCGGATGAACTCCTCCTCCGTCATCTTGCGCCGCACCTGGGGGGGGGGAGGGGGGGGGGGGGTGGGTGGTTGAGGAGACAGGAGAGGAAGGGCAGGAAGAGGGGAGAAATACTCATTGCAAGCGCACAGACAGAACCAGATAATATATGCATCATGAGCTCACGAACCTGCCCATTATACGGGTCAGTGTTGAGCATGATGACAGAGTATGACAGCACACATTCATGAAGGGAGGGAGTACTGTACTCATACTCCCAGCACACACTCACTTCATGCCACGACTCACAACAACTCATTCCAGTCAACAGATAAGCCACCCACGCATGAGTCTGTTGTGTACAAGTCAGTGTTGAGCATGAGGAAAGAGTACGACAGCAGCATACACAAGCATACAGGGAGGGAGAACTCATACCCCCAGCAGCACACACTCTCACCCACACGTCACAACAACTCAAGCCATTCAACGCACCTGCCCATTGTACAGGTCAGTGTTGAGCATGATGACAGAGTACGACAGTACACACTCACCCACACGTCACAACAACTCAGGCCATTCAACGCACCTGGCCATTGTAGAGGTCAGTGTTGAGCATGATGACAGGGTACGACAGCACATACGCCTGGCAGGAGGCAGAAATCTTACTCTCAGCAGCACACGCTCATGATGCTACGAACCACACAGCAACTACCTGCACCCACGCACCTGGCCATTATAGAGGTCAGTGTTGAGCATGATGACAGAGTACGACAGCACATACGCCACATCATGGTTCGCAAACCCATACGCAGCGGGCGCCAGCTCATAGTACCGCTCTGCAAACGCCTCCAGCACTCTCGATATCTTCTGCGCCTCCCCCGGCAGTCTGAACCCTTCCAGGAAGGTTCTCAGCGCCGCGTCCAGCGCCATGCCCTCGAAGTCGAACAGCTTAGCAAATTCCCCTAAAACGCGGACGTGGAACTCCTCGTGCCCGCCCAGCAGGTCCCCCACTAGTGTTTTGTTAAGTCCCGGTGTGAAGCGCAGAAAGCAGGCGACTGCCCGGGCGTCGGGCTGCAAGGGGAGCAGCGTGGAGGCTTGGAGGAATTGCAGGCCTTTCTTTGAGTCCCGATTGAAATGCTCGACGCCTATCAGCAGGCGGCGCTTGATGGACCTCTGCTGCCGCACTACTTCCACTAGCAGAAGCTGCTGCTGATGGTGGTGGTGGTGATGCTGATGCTCGTTCTGCTGTCCCTGAAACCCGTCGACAGATGCTGACACGCCCACCTGCTTGCCTGCTGCTGCCTCGCCTGCCCCAGAAGCAGCAGCTGCAGCGAGAGCAGCAGCAACCATCTCCCGAGCCTGCGTCCACATGGCTCCGTTCTCCGAAGCTATCTTCAGCTCCGGCGCCGCTGGCACGGCCGAACCTGGCAGCAGCAGCAACGGGGCTGGTGCTGCTCCAACACCAGCACCATCCCCTGCACCCGCAACCGCAACACCACCACCAGCACCAGCGGCAACACCAGCAGCGGCAGCCGCATTGGCCCTGTCCGCCATATGATGCACTACAGCCAGCAACCCCTGCATAGCCAGCACATGCAGCGATGATAGCGGTGTGTTCACAGGGAAGGCTGCTCGAGACAGCAGTCCTGAAAGCTCCTCCAGGCAATTCGCGCATGTGAGGTCGGCGTCAAAATTGGCGTAAGTTTCCACGGCGAATTCGGGCAGGCGGCAAAAGTCGAGGAGGGCTTCCAGGGCAGCTTCCTGCTGCGCGAAGGAAGTTGCGGTGAACTTTCCTGCTGTGCCGACGAGGCGGGCGATGACACAGGTGTAAAACGCCTCGAGCTGCAGCTTCAGGTGCGCTCGGGCTGAATGAAAGAGTGTCTGCACTATGGCGAGCACCTGGGGGGGTTGAGAAGTGGGGCGCATGCAAGGAGCAGAGGCACAGGCAGAGGTACAAGTTGAGGGGAGCACAGGTGTAGAAGGCCTCTAGCTGAAGCTTCAGGTGCGCACGGGCTGAGTGAAAAAGCGTCTGGACGGTGTTTTTGAGAATTCTCAAAAACACCCTGCAGCGTCTGGACTATGGCCAGGACCTGGGGGAGGGAGAGGGGGGGACACGATGGTGGGGCGCATGGAAGGGGAGCAGAGGTGAAGGAGGCTTATTAGCTGCAGCTTCAGGTGCGCACGGGCTGAATGGAAGAGCGTTTGCACTATGGCTAGGACCTGGGGGGGATGGGAGGTGTGGGGCGCGTGGACAGGGCAGAGGCATAGCCAGTGGTACAGGTTGGGGCGAGCAGAGGTAAAAACAACCTCCAGCTGCAGCTTCAGGTGTACTCGGGCCGAATGGAAGAGGATCTGCACTATTGCCAGGACCTGGGGGGGATGGAAGGTGAGGGTGGGGAGCGGTGGAGGGTGGAGAGAGCACGAGGAGAAAGGTACGTGCGGGCAGAATGGAGTAGTGTCTGCACTATGGCGACCACTCGGGGAGGGTGAGAGGTGTGGGACGCGTGGAAGGGGGAAGAAAACAGGCAGAGGTACATGTTGGGTTGGGGGGGAGCAGAGCAGAGATGAACAGGTGCAGCTTGGGGAGGGCGGGACAAGTGGACGAGCGGCTGCCTGCAGCATGGCTAGGACCTAGGTGCGCGGATGGGAACAAGTGCAGAGTATGAAGAGGCAGAGGTTGACAGCGGTACACTGCGGTACACAGAGGTGAGGTGCGGCAATACCTTGAGTTACCTGAAGGCCCATACCTGGGAGAGCACGAGCAGGTTCGGTGACAGTCCCAGCTGCAGCAGCGAGCGGAACAGCTCGTCCTGCACGAGGGAAAGCAACCGCGGGTGGTGCACCACCGCCGGTCCAGCAAGCTCCAGCGCAGACGATATGAGGCTGAGGGCGAGCAGCGAGACGTCGTCGTCTGCCAGCATGCCCGAGGCAAAGAGCGCTGACTGATGGTCCTCCAGGCCGAGGAGGCTCATACCTGGGAGGGAGACCCGAGAGTAGCATCGTACCTGGGAGAGCACGAGCAGGTTGGGGGAGAGTCCCAGCTGAAGCAGTGACCGAAACAGCTCGTCCTGAACTAGTGACAGCAGGCGCGGGTGGTGTACCACCGCTGGCCCAGCAAGCTCCAGAGCAGCCGATATGAGGCTGAGGGCCAGCAGAGAGACGTCATCGTCTGCCAGCATGCCCGAGGCAAAGAGCGCTGACTGATGGTCCTCCAGGCCGAGGAGGCTCATACCTGGGAGGGAGACCCGAGAGTAGCATCGTACCTGGGAGAGCACGAGCAGGTTGGGGGAGAGTCCCAGCTGAAGCAGTGACCGAAACAGCTCGTCCTGAACTAGTGACAGCAGGCGCGGGTGGTGTACCACCGCTGGCCCAGCAAGCTCCAGAGCAGCCGATATGAGGCTGAGGGCCAGCAGAGAGACGTCATCGTCTGCTAGCATGCCCGAGGCAAAGAGCGCTGACTGATGGTCCTCCAGGCCTAGCAGCGAGCAGAGGAAGTGAAACACCTCCACTGCACACGCCACCCCATGCGGGCGCCCCAACGCTCCCACCAACGCTCTGTTGCTGCTGCTGCCTGCCTGCCCCCGCTCCTCGCCCTCCTCCCTGTCCTCTCCCTCGCCTGCGGCTTCTCTGCTTGAGCCGCGCTGTCCCCCGGGCCATTCGACAGGCTCGGCGGGAGGGGGAGGTTTGGCGGGTGCCGAGGCTGAGGTGGGAGGAAGGCCATTGGGTGTTGGCGTGGAATGGGGTTCGCTGGCGGTGCTGCTGGCGCTGGTTCTGTCTGTGGCACTCACTACAGCCACCCCTCCTGCTGCGCCTACTGGGATGGGACCTGCTTCACCCTGCATGGCAACAGCAGCAGCAGCAGCAGCAACACAGATGGTGCGCTTTGAAACGCCTTAAAGATGCAGCAGGGGCAGCAGCATAGGTAGCAGCACGCAGGGGACAGGGGACGAGTCGAGCAAAAAATAAGACACACGGAACAAGGCAGAGGAATATAAAAAAGACTCATTCGAACATCCCCCCACAACCCCCCCACAACCCCCCCCTCTCCCTGTTCCCAGCCCCACTCCCCCACCCACTTGATCAGACCCAGTTCAACCGCTCTCACCTGGCCAGCATTCCCACCGTCTCGGCCATCCCCGCACACGCGCATCACACCTGTCCTCCTCCCCCCCCCCCCCCCCTTTCCTCCCCCCCCCCTTTTCGTTTCAGAAACCCACTTCAATCGCACTCACCTGACCAGCATTCCCACCATTTCGCCCACCCCCTTCACCCCCCTCCTCCACCACCGCCCCCCCTAGTTCCAACACACCCTCCTGCACCCCCTCCTCCCTGCTCCCCTCCCTCGCTTCCACCCGAGGGGAGAACGGAGTGCTGTCCATCGTCCCCTGTGTCGCCTCGCCTTCCCCCCACCTTTTCCCTGTTCGCAGCTCCACTCCCTGACCCGGTTCAACCACACTCACCTGACCAGCATTGCCACCATCTCGGCCCTCCCCTCCGCCCCCCTCCTCCACCATCCCTCCCCCAAGCTCCAACGCACCCTCCTGCACCCCCTCCTCCCCGCCCCCCTCCCTCGCCTCCACTCTTGGCGAGAACGGCGTGCTGTCCATCGTCCCCTGCGTCGCCTCGGCCTCCCCCAGCTCCCCTTCCTCCTCGCTCGCGGGCAGCTCGGGCAGCCGCCCGAAAATCTCGCGGACCATGTCGAGGAGGGTTTGGCAGGCGAGGCGCTGCAGCAGGTGGCTCTTGGAGGCCGCCTGGTGCAGCACGCGGAAACACGTGTTGACGATGCTGCACATGTGGCGATCCGAGAGGAGTGGGCCTGCTGGGCTGCGCACCGTTTCTAGAAGGACCTGCGGAGTAGGGTGAAAAGGGCGGGGGGGTGGGGAAATGCAAGACAAATAGGCTGGAGGCCGCCTGGTGCAGCACGCGGAAGCATGTGTTCACGATGCTGCACATGTGTCGGTCTGACAGCAGGGGACCGGCAGGACTGCGCACGGTTTCCAGGAGAACCTGGGGGATGGGGAGGGAAGGGGAAAGGGGGGAATCAGTGACTTAGAGGCCGCCTGGTGCAGCACGCGGAAGCACGTGTTGACGATGCTGCACATGTGGCGATCTGACAGCAGGGGACCCGCTGGGCTGCGCACCGTTTCTAGAAGAACCTGGAGGGTGTGGGGAGGGGAGGGGGGAAAAGGGGGAAAGGGGGGGGTTTGAAGACGCATAGGCTGAGGCGGCCTGGTGCAGCACGCGGAAGCACGTGTTCACGATGCTGCAAATGTGACGATCGGAGAGGAGAGGACCGGCAGGGCTGCGCACCGTTTCTAGAAGAACCTGGAGGGTGGGATGGGGGAATCGGAGGGGGGAGGTGGGAAGGGGAGGGGGGAATCACAGACTGGAGGCTGCATGGTGCAGCACGCGGAAGCACGTGTTCACGATGCTGCACATGTGACGATCGGAGAGCAGGGGACCCGCAGGGCTGCGGACTGTCTTCAAAAGAACCTGGCGGGTGAAATGTGGGGGTGTGGATGGGAGGGGACGGGACGACATAGAGGCCGTGAACGGCTGAACGGCTCCAGCCGCGAAGCTAGGTTTCGAGGTGCACCTGAACGGCTGAATCCTAAACGTTCATGGCAGGGTCAGGAGAACCACGAGGAGAATCAGTGAGCGCTCGACAATGATCGCTCCCAGGAAAAATATCACAATAAGAGACACTTACCTCGAGACGTGGTAAAAACGAGACGTGGCGACCTCGACATGTGGGTACCTGGAGAGGTACCGAGTCTAGGATTGTCACAATGTCCTGGAGGTGACTGCTCCAGGTACCCATGTCCCAAGCAGTTACCTTAAGGCGCGGTTATCTGGAGGATCTTGACGAGGACCGCTTCGTCGCAACGTGCTTACCTTGACACGTGGTATTCTAAGACGCGACACGGTTACCTGGAGAATTTTGACGAGAACTGCCTCTTCCGACGCGAGATCCGTGACCTCGAAGCGGCACGACGTGACCGCGTCCATGACCATGTGGATCCCCACCGCCGCGCCGGGCGTCGACTCGTCGAAAAACTGCAGATTCAGGATCTTGAGCACTGACGACAATGCGACGCTGGTAACAATCGTGTTTGTTCGCTCGGATCGCACGACGTCGAGAAACGGCGTGAGGTACGCGGAAGGCGGCACGCGCGCCGCCTCCCAGTCGTCGTCTGACCAATCGGTGACGATCTTCTGCCTTAGGGCTTTAAGATTGCGCAAAAGCGGATCCTCCGCGTCGGCGCCGGATGTCTCGTCGAGGAAAATCGGGGAGACAGCCCATTTGGAGCTCTGGCGCATGACGGCCAATAGCGTGTGGATCTCCGTGCTGAGCTGGCACGCTCGCACGTGCGCGCGCGTGCCACTGAGAGCAGCCCTACCTGCACCGGTTCTACCTGCCGTTCTCCCGACGGCCATTGTCGATGATCCTAATCGGCTCGCCATGGTTTCAAAGACGAACTAAAGGGAGAACATTAAGCCACAGGCAAGGATTGCTGTCGAGATAGTCAACACACGAAAGGCTACATGGGAACAAGTGAGGGAAGTTAGGATTGACGTAAAAAGGGGAACCACAATAAGGACTGGAAAGCCGCAATGGAGCGTTACGCAGCTCTCCAAACTATTATTTTCAAAACCGCGGGGTAATGGTAAGGGAGCACTAGATCTTGACAGAAACTCACGGTACACACGGCCTGCTCTACACTGCGATTTACACCAACCAGACTCTGTGGACTAGAGCCGTAGTCGCGAAAACTGCATTCAAGTTTAGATAAGCTACTAGGTGCCTTTCCTCGTCAGGTGGAAACTCCACTCGCGAATCACACGACTCAGCTTTTGCCGCAGATTGGTTGGATGATTTGGCGGGTGGAGTGGACGCACTGAGGAGGCACACACAGCAGCACAGAAATTGCTGACAACAGCCCATAGAGCACTGTAACGAGAATGGTCAATGCTGGGGTGGAATTTCAAACAAAACCATATGCCCAGAACTGCATAACACTCACAGGGTACAAACAGATTCTACCTAGAAGGTTCCTAGTCTTAGAGGTGACTGGTGAGGTGGGTGAAGCGTGCAAAATGAAACTTCTGGGTTTTCCTGGTGCTCCCTGTGCCACACGCCCTGCACCAAGCCGTGTCTCCATGAACAAGTTCGTGTTCAGAGTGATACGATGCACAAACCCTGTAACAAGTACATGCTCCAATCCAACCAATACATGAGCATGTGGTTAGTGTGCCTGTGTGCAGTAGTTTGTTGTTAGTGTTACGAATAGTAATACTTGAATATTACTGTGCACTCCTCACCGCAGCAAAGAGAAGCACGCAGTATCGCGAATGAACGCGAAGCGTCAGACGGTTGGAACGCATCTGAACCGTCGGAGCAGACAGCATCAGGCAGCTGCAGGCAGGATGGATTCGGCGGGAACAGTTTCGTAACTGTTCACGCCGCACAGTTGGGAATGTATTTGAATAAGGGAATGTACCCCTTAGAGTACATGGCTAGCTAGGTCGATTCATATTCCCCTGTACTCTAATTTATATCGTTGTATTTGCATGTCTTAATCATCTCAAGCATTTACATTCACTCTGCTCTTGAGGTCAAGGGCCCACCAACACCACTTCCCTGCAGGACCTTCCTGAGTAGATCCTAGGCCACGATCAACTTTTGATCGCAGCAGTTAGTGTGCCCTGCATTGCAAATCAGAGCCCTCCTAGATGTGCTTAAAGAGTTAGTGCAACAGCCCGTACTCGATGTGCCCGTAAACATGTCCCATACCTAGTGCTCCCAAATACAACAGCCCGATGGTTAGCATGCCCCCGTGCCTGTAATAAGTTTCCCCTCTACGCAAGCCCTGTGACTACCATACCATGTACACCCGATGTACAAGCCCTGTGGTTAACCCATACTGGTGCACAAGCCCTGTGGTTAGCATGCTCTGATGGACAAGCACTGTACATCACCTGTAATTAGAGTGCTCTGACGTGCAGCTTTCTGGAAGCCATCTCACAAGTCTTGTGGTTAGCCTACTTTGCTGCACTAGCCGTGTCGCTAGCATTCCTTTATGGGCAAACCCTGGGCTCAATGCAAATTCCCTGCAGTTAGTGAGCTTCCATGCACAAGCACTGTGTTTAATGTCTGGCATTCCGTTCATTGGACAAGCCCTGTGATTAGCGTGCGAGGAGGCACAAGCCCTGTGATTAGCCCTGTTGTTAGCCCTGTGGTTAGTCCTGTTGTTAGCCTAGTCTACACTGGGGGTTGCTGGTGGGTTACATGGGGTGGTAGGTCGCTGAGGGAGGAATGGGGGGGGACAATGCAGCGAGGGGGAGGGGATGTAGGGAAGTGCTTACGAATGGGGAGGGGGGTTGGAGGGGAGGGGAGGGGAAGGGATGGGATGAAGTAACGGGGGGTGGGTGGGTTACGATCTTGGGGGGTCAAGGAGGAGGGCGGGGGGGGGGGGGGGGGGTACCATACCTGAGAGCGTTACTAGTCTAGATAGCCTATCTACTCTAGCATATTTGTTCTTCATCTTCCATCTTGCAAGCACGTGGCTGTCCTGCAAGCAGACGAGAGGAGGTGGCAAGGCAGGCAAGAGTTTGGCTTCTATATGTGATGAAATAAGATACGATATGCAATTATGGGTGTTGTCCGATTGGGGTAAACGATTTACATGATTGGATACCTAAACAATGTACACATACGATACGATATGATCTGATACTAATGATACGATACGATACGATACGATATGCTGTGATATGCTGTGATATGATATGATAAGATATGCTGTCTTTGAGGTTCAGTCTGTGTTCGGTTGGTTTTTTCTCACCTTCACAGACAACGATGAGCAATTCACCAGTTGGCCACTCCAGTTGGATCCACCAGGCAATCGCAATCCCCACATCACCATCCAATCCTGTCTAGTCAGCAACAAACCCGAAACGAAGGAGTGAAAGAGCGATGGGCATATGAGAGACAAGGAGAAGATCAAAGGACACGAGCATGTCAGCTAACGATGAAGATTATGGTTCCATTTCTGTCACAGCGGAATTGTGTTGCCGGGCAGAGAGAGAAACGGCCATGGAAGGCAAAGGACTGTGAGACATGGACAGGAAGTGTGGGGATGGAAGGGGTATTGGCGCGCCATGCAAGTGTGGTGTAGAAGAAAAAGGGGTGGGTGCAGAAACTCACAACAAGGAAAGTCGTCAAAGCACGTGCTATTCTCGTGCACTCTCGTGCTCCAATGCTGCAGCCAGCATGTTGCTCCCTGCTGATCACACCTGAAGGAAGAAACACGAGGGAAACTGCATGTGAAGAAAGAGAAGGGGAAGAGCCGAAAAGTAAGGAATGTGAAGAAAGAGGAGAGGAGAAATAAGAAATAAGGCATCTGAAGGTAGAGCAGCGAAGGGAAAAGAAATGAGAAACGGAGAGGAGATGCAACAGAGAGGCCGAGCCTGGGGGAAGAGAAAAAGAGAAGAAGAGTGTTGAGCAACAACAACCATAAGAAAACGATGTGATTGCCGTGCCTGTAGACCGTCCCATGCTGCCATTGCCGTGCCTGTTTGTCAGACAGCGGCACAGGAGGATATGAGAGAAGTTACGTCAAGAAGCGGGATGGAAGGAAGCAAGAGTGGACGGAGGACAGAGCTTTGAGGAAAAGCGGGACGGGAGGGGATGAGGAGCGTACAGCGTTGTTCCTCTTCGAGGAAATAGGGCTTGGTATATTCGCCCTTGCTTGTTGTCCGTTGCTGATATTGCTGCTGCTGCCACTCCCGTGCTGTGTTCAACTGCAGAATGAAAGGCAGGGGAAGAGACAAGGAAGGTATGGGAGGAGCAGCGACAACGTTCAAAGCAGAAAGAGAGGGCTGGCTAGGTGACGCATGGAAATGTGGAGAGGATCTTGGCGTGCAACATGGGAATGCCACTTGACCGTTGCTCCATCTGGCAGAAAAGGAGTGGCATGGGAAGCAAAACTGACGAATGCGAAGGAAAAGGATCTACCAGAGGAGACTTACCACATAAATAATTTTGTCCCTCATCTCACATATCTCTACTCCCACTTGGCTGCGTCCTCTGCGCCCTCCTCTGCTGCCGAACATCACAACAGAGGTAAATCTAAACTACAGCATACGGTGAGGTGAAGGAGTGTTACGAGAGAAGAGCTTCAGGACAGGATGCCTAAAAAACGGCAAACAAGATGAAGGAAGGAGGACTGGAATAAAGCGAAAGTCGGATCTTACCACGTATGCTGCTGCGGCAACCTCTTGTCCTCCTCTGCTACCTCTCCTCCGCCTCAGTGCCCTCGCCTCATTTGCACGTATGGTCCTCTGCTCCCTCTCCTCCGCCTCAGTGCCCTCGCCTCATTTGCACGTATGGTCCTCTGCTCCCTCTCCTCCGCCTCAGTGCCCTCGCCTCATTTGCACGTATGGTCCTCTGCTCCCTCTCCTCCGCCTCAGTGCCCTCGCCTCATTTGCACGTATGGTCCTCTGCTCCCTCTCCTCCGCCTCAGTGCCCTCACCTCATTTGCACGTATGGTCCTCTGCTCCCTCTCCTCCGCCTCAGTGCCCTCGCCTCATTTGCAAGTATGGTCCTCTGCTCCCTCTCCTCCGCCTCAGTGCCCTCGCCTCATTTGCACGTATGGTCCTCTGCTCCCTCTCCTCCGCCTCAGTGCCCTCGCCTCATTTGCACGTATGGTCCTCTGCTCCCTCTCCTCCGCCTCAGTGCCCTCGCCTCATTTGCACGTATGGTCCTCTGCTCCCTCTCCTCCGCCTCAGTGCCCTCGCCTCATTTGCACGTATGGTCCTCTGCTCCCTCTCCTCTCCCCTCCTGAGTGCAAAGTCCGCTGCTCCCTCTCCTCTCCCCTCCTGAGTGCAAAGTCCGCTGCTCCCTCTCCTCTGCATGTATCTTTGTCTGCTTCTTCTCCTCCTCTGCATGTTTCGTCCTCTACTCCCTCTCCTCCTTTGCTCTCTATCCAAAGACTCAAAACAAACCGTGCTACAACCTAAAGGAGAGGAGAGGAGTTACAGCCTGCAGGTGAGGAGACGAGCTAAAACATCGCCTGTACTATATACCAGAGCAAGGCACACAGCATACGAAGCATGTCAAGATCATCCCACCTAACCCGACACTAAAATTACGCAGTTGTTCGTTTCTTCCAGGTCTGCAAATATTTACAGCTTGACTGTGCGTTATCCACTCCTGCATGCATCGGGCATAAGCGCTGCCCTGTACTCAGAGTGCGGTGAGCGTACCTGTAGTTAGGCGCCAGCCAGAGGGAGCTTCTCGTCAGAGCAGAGTGTCTGAGCCGGTGTTGCATGCGCCGGGACAATGAGCACGAGTGCCGCTCCTTGCTGCCGCTCCTTGCTGCTCGCACTCACTTTGGCCTGGAACAAGCTATAAGGTGGAGGATAGGGATAGGCAAAAGGACACAGGAAGCAGGAAGTAAGTGAGTGCAAGGACGGAAGGCAGCAGTGGAACAGGAATTGCAAGCGTCAAAAGAAACAAGGCAGGGAAAATGGAAGAAAGTAGAAAAGTGAAAACCATGTGAAGGATGCAGTGAAAACAGAGAGGCGATGGTAGCACACAGCACTAGGGCGGCGAGCTAGCAGGCAAGGGGGGACTGGGTAAGGAAGGGACGCGGGCATGAGTATGAATGCATTCTACTCTATTCCCCTACGACTCTAGTATGAGCTCAACCCTCCGCAGTGCTATGCGCTACCATCGCCTGAACGCCACTCATCTCTCACTCAGCTTTTGACGCTCATCTCTCATTTTGCTTTATCGAGCATGCAGTGAGGAGAGCGCAGAACAAAAGTGGGCAATGATAAACACGAAGCAGAAGAGGTAAGGATGGAAAGGGCGCCTGGAGAGTGAACTTAGCCGTATGGGGTTGCTTGCAGGAGGCACGTGCCCTGCTGTGAATGCCTGCCGCGCGTCATCCCCCCGCCCTCCCCCCCCAAGCGCTGCCAAAGCACTGGACAAGAGGGGTGCAGCAAAGGAGAGCAAGAGTAGAGATAGCAGGGGGGAAAGGAACACTAGTAGTCAGTCGAAGCAAGATAGATAGCAAGAGGCAGAGATATGCATGCAAGGAGGCAGAGATAACAAGAACGAATGAGTAACGGAAAGAAAAGTTGAAGTTGAAAAGCACGTGGCACTGTGACTCTGTGAAAGGGGAGGCGATGGTAGCACACAGCACTAGGGCGGCGAGCAAGCTGGCAAGGGGGGACTGGGTAAGGAAGGGACGCGGGCATGAGTAAGAATGCATTCTACCCTATCCCCTTATGACTCTAGTTTGAGCTCAAGCCGCCCCAGTGCCATGCGCTACCATCGCCAAACGCCGTATGAAAAAAAAACTCTTGTTTTTCGAGCATGCAGTGAGGAAAACGCTCGGTATAAAGTGCGCAAGGACAATGACGAACCAGAAGAGGCAAAGATGACAAGGGCAAAGGGAGAGTGGACTTAGCCGAATTGGGGAGCTTGCAGCGACAGATGCAGCGAGAGAGTCGTCGTTCCAGCCAGAAGCAGGATCCAGTCTGATGCTCCATTGAATCTCCGAATGAGCTTCCCTCGCTGCTGTTGATGTGATTCCGACTGGCTGACGACTGGCTGCATTCGCCTCTTTCATTATCAACGTCTTGCGTCTCAATTGTCACCGTCGAAAAGCCGCGCTTCAATTGTCGCCGTGAAAAGTCACCATTTCAGTCGTTACTCTCGGAAAGCGTCGCTTCCGTCGTCACCATGAGAAGCCGCACTTTTGATTGTCACCGTCAGCGTCAATTCGGTCGTCGCCGTGAGAAGTCACCATCGCGATCGTCACTATCAGAAACGTCGCTTCGCTCGTCACCGTCAGGAAATGTCACCTCGACCGTCACCGTCGGGAATTGTCGCCGTGGCTTTGATCGTCAGAGCGAAAACTTGCACCCTGATCGTCGCTGTCAGAACGCATCACTTCGATCGTCACCATTAGAGGTCACCCGGTGACGGGCCGTCAGAACTCGTCTGTCACCCCCTCAGTCACCACCATTGGAAGAGCACATATCAGAAGTCGCAGCGCCATCAAATCATTCGCGTTTGCCTTCGCCGTGGAAAAAACAATCACCAGCAGGGTATCTGCGTCGGCCGTCACGAGACGAGATCAAACTGTTCTCGCTGCTTCAACGAACGTATTATGGAGAGCGGAAAGACAATTCTAAGGCATCTCGAGATGATCGCCGATCGGCGAACCCTCTCTCTACCCGCGACTGTCAGGCGATGTCTAGAATTCTAGAGCCGAGTTGTTGTGAAATTCTGCGACCGACATCGAGATTGCGATCAGGATAGAGAATTATTGGTAGACGAAGGAATGGCAGTCGACGGGAGCCATGTACTGCTGGGAGCCGCCTTACAGATTCCAAAAATAAGACTAGACGGTTACACGTCGGACGACGACAGCCAAGGATTGCAACAGTATGAGCTTGGTTCTTGAAATCAATATATCTGACGATCACGACGGAATAAGACACAGACTACGAAATCTAAAGGTAACATGATCCGTAAAGAAATGGCGTCAGCCATGGGCATCGGTTTAGCGAGCTCGTTATCTTCTAGGACAGTGAGCAGAGGTGTGATCATGGTGAGGAATTCAGAGAAGCTTGAGAATGGCGTACATCAATGAAACAGTGGTGCATTCCAGGCGAATTAGAGAGATTTAGAGTGGTGGTGAAGGAATCCCAGAAGCAGGAAGTAATCAGCGGAACTAGTCCAATTTCCCAGCTCAAGTGCTGGCCGCCGCACCGTCGGCGGATGGTGCCGGTTTCGTGAGAGCGTAGACGACAAGGCTGGCCGTTTCGTCAGCAGAAGATGCGCCTTGCGAAATTTCGACTAAGCTTTGCGAACAAATCCTCGGAATCTCCGACACGCGGAAGTTCCAGGGTTACCCCTGTTTGCGCGGGAACTGTCTGACAGAAGTGGACGTCTCTGCCAGGACATCACGCCCTGTGATGGCAAATGGTATGGATGCTTATGTATGTATCCAACGGCTGAGCGCTTCTATCCCCAGATGCGATGTGATGCTCCTTCCTGACGGATGTGCGACACAATGTGCAGCGCGCCAAATATCTCATTTAAGTTCACCATTATACCGCAACTTACTACACATTCTGAGTCCTGACCAACCAGGCACGAGTAGGCTTCAGGGCACAAGGGAGGATAAACATGGCACTTGGAAAAACAGCATGGTAATCAAACCAGCTGCAGCGCCAATCACTCCAGCAACGGAGCATAACATACATCACGGTCACTCATAAAAGCCAAGGCACAGCACAAGTAGCTGCCATACCACCCAAGCACCTGCCCATATATACAGCATATGAACGCATGCTCGCCGGTTTTTCCCCCGAGATAACCGCCACCACCAAACCATACATGCACTATAACACCCCTCTCAGCTTGCACAAGCCCTTTCCGAGAAGCTTGCAGGCAAGCAGGCCAGCCTCCTCAGAGCACTCTGGCTTCTAAACCCGCACGTAGCCCACCAGCACACAGGCAGCGGGCCCTCCCTAGATCAGGCCAGACACCTCAGCCAGCATGCTGTGTGCGTGCGTCAAAGCCTATGGATGAGCCTCAAGCCTACAAAAGTCTCTGAGCCTCTAGATGAGCGAGTCGATATCCTCTGTGCGCGCTGACTTGAGGGCGGACACGAGCCCCACCGGCACGTTCTGGCGGGGCCGCTGTGTTACGGGGTCCACGGGGGGCAGCGAGCAGCACTGCGCATACTCCTCGCCGTCAAAGGCAAAGCAGTAGGGGTGTGCCGTGCCGATCTGGTGTGGGGGGATGGGTGAGGGGATGGAAGGAGAGAAAGCACGCTGTGTTAAGGGGTCCACGGGGGGCAGGGAGCAGCACTGATCGTACTCCTCACTGTCAAACACAAAGCAGTAGGGGTGCCGAGTGCCTATCTGAGGGAAAGGAACGAGGGAAGAGCAGGGGACCGGTGAGACGTGGCACAAGAGGGCAGCACATATTGCACTGCACTGCGTACAACGAGCCATGCTTATAACGAGTCATACTCACATGCAGGCGCAGCATCTCGAGCTCAGTGAGGTCGCAGAGGTACGAGATGATGCAACGCAGCACATTGCCATGCGCAACCACCAGCACGTTCTTGCCCTCCGCTAGCCGCGGCTCCACCGTTGACAGGAAGAAAGCCAGAGTGCGCTCCGACGTGTCCTGAGGGATGCCATAACGGGTACAGGAAAGAAGTAAGGCGGGTGAGAAACCAAGTGCCGAAAAACGATGATGTCATCACCACAGCAAAAGCACCACAACAATACAACTACGAATCCATAATGTAACGGGTGCGGCACCCCAACAGAGTAACACTCACCAGCAGGCTCTCCCCCTTGGGCGGGCGCGTGTCGTGGCTTCTCCGCCAGATGGCCACCTGCTCGTGCCCGAACTCCTTCGCTGCTGCCTCCTTGTTCAACCCCTGAGCAGTGGAGCAACGGAACAAGGGCGGGAGGGAACAGGGGTCAGATGGAACAAACGGGGAGCGAGTGAGGAAAATGGGAATCAGCTCGAGGATGGAAATCCACTCAACTGCCCCAACAGCGAGGCGCGCAGCTCACCTGCAAGTCGCCGTAGCAGCGCTCGTTGAGGCGCGGGTCGGCGTACACGGGGATCATGCGGCACGCCGCCTGCTTCAGCGCCTGCGCCGCCGCCTCCCGCAGTCGCAGTCGGTTCTCGTCGCCCGTCTTGCCCCGCCCGTAGTAGCCGCCGCGCACGATCACCGGCACCGCCTTGTGCACGCTCTGGTGGAGGAGGTCGCGAGGTAGAGAGCGTCGCGAGAGGGGCAAGGAAGGAAGGAAGGAGCGAACGCGTTTTAGGACGGGGGCAAAGCGAACACACTTTGAACGGGGACAAAGCGAACACGTCGTTGCTAGCGAAATGTCTCACGGTAAGCGTTGTACGAATTCACTTCTCTCACCCGCGACATGCGACGCTCACTTGCGACATGCGACATACGACGTTCACCTGCGCCATACGACGCATGTGCGACGTGCGACGCTCACCTGCGTCATGGCGAGCAGCGCCGTCTGCTTGGAGCGCACGAGGCGGCTCGTGAAGATCATGTCGAAGTCGATCTCCGCCACGGACCGCCCGCCCGCCATGGCCTCCATCACGCCGCGCTCCGTCAACGGAATGTCCACGTCACTGAGACGTGGCACAAGCGGGATTCAGGGAAGCAACATAAATGATGAGGCGGACCAAGCAACCAGCACTCAACCTAGAACAAGTCTGACAGTCAGCACACACAGACACAGTCGAGCGCTCAGAAATATAGAAGCAGACTCGGCTATCAGTCAGCGCAAACGACGCAGACATACATCAGAGCGCCACTCACCCCGTAAACAGCTTCAGGTCGTTCCACATGCTCTCGCCGTGTCGCATGAGCACGAGCGTCGGATGGTCGTGCACTTTCGCGCACGTAATCGACGGCTCCGTGTCTTCGCCACAGACCTTCACCACCATGCTGACGTGGTGTTCCTGCCCCTGCCTCCCCCGCTTCTCGCGCGCCTGCTCCTCCTCCTCGCGTCGCGCCGCCGCGCCGTTCGCCCTCTCGAACCGTTCCCACGCGTCGACGTCATTCGGCGGCCGCGCGCCCCGCTCCTCGCTCGGCGGCGTTGCGGCGGGGCGCTCCGGCGGGGCGATTCGAGCCGCCACCTTGACGCAGCGGCGGCAGGCGGAAGACCAGGTTGGCGCGGCGTCAAACGCGGACCCGGAACCCGGCGATGGAAAGCTTCGCTTGGCGAGGAACTGCGACTCGAGGCGACAGACAGAGTGGCATGACGGCGACACGGCGCAAGGTAGGCGAGCGTGAGAGCTAGAGGTGCTAGATCTGGTGGTCGACAGGCTCGCGTTCGCCGTCGTGTTCGCGCAACCGACGGCTGCGGTTCTGGTAACTGCGTCTCGAGGAATAAAACGAAATACAGCGACTCTCGCCATCGTGTTCGCGACAGGGAGCGGGAGAGAACAGTCAACGAGCGAAAGGCAGGAGTGTAGACGGGAGGACAGACTGCGAGAAGATGGTCAACTTCTTGTCTGTCAATAACAACGTTTAGATGACAAAGGTGTCCCCGGTCGGATAGCCTGAACGGTGAAGTGAGCAACGATAAAGTGAATGCAGCTGGATTTTTGGTTTATATCAGGCCAGCAGAGGACGAGAACTAGTGGAATGCAGGTCTGACGACTTGCGTCGCCTTTTGGAAGGAGGAAAGGGTGGTTTCGAGAAGATGAGGAGGGTTGTTGAGAAGTCAAAAGAGCGGACCAGCAGTGCAGAGAGAACAGAGCAGAGGAAGCAATGCAGAGCAGATCGGAAACTGAAGGTGAGCGTGTGCGGGGGAGTTTGGGGAAGGAATAGGGGGGAGAATGCAATGTACTTTACTGTACGCGGGAGGGACTGGCGTGGAGAAGCAAAATGGGAGGGAGGGAGACGCGGGCGGAATGCGGGGAATGGGCGGCAGAAGCGCCATTTCGTAGGCAACAAGGGAAGCAGCAGGTGTTGCGATGCGAACGACCACTTGGGTGGGGCGAAAGAGCATACGACCAGACGTGAAGTCGCAGGCGGTCTACGACACGCAAACCGGCATCTGCAATCTGCGGCCGCGAGAAGAAAGCCTTATCCGCCGATGGATTTGACAGTTCCCAGTTCAAGATAACCGCTGCCAGTTCCAAATAACGGTTGCTCTTGTGAAATGACCGAATCAATATGGTCGGTGGTGTGACGAGAGCCCAAGCAAGCGGGAAGATGTTTTCAGTGTGGTGGAGGCAATGATGGCAGGCGTAGATCTTGCCCAATTATCTTCTGGCCGCTCCTGTCACAATGGCAGGCGTTGACGTGGCAAAACTCCGTTCATGCGACACTCTGCAGATATCGCGGAATTGTTTTCCCCATTTCTATTCGTCGCATGGGGCAAACGGTTGGGGTCAGTCGTCGTGACGTCGTCACAGTCGCCAAGGGAACTTCTTGACATCCGAGTTCGCGCTTCGGTTGGCTATCGATCTCCAGCGACGAAGGAGGCCACACATCGGAAATCGCATCTGACGATGGCGAGAGTTGCCACGTTAACGCGCAAAGACCACGTGTGGTACCATCTAAGCATCGTCCTACCTCTCAGCCGCAGGAGTAGCCCACGGGATAGGGTGCAGCACCAATCATGTTCCTTATTGACGACCCTAGCACCTGCGAAGGGGCTCGATGAGTGGAAAATTTTCATCACCACTTTTTCGGGCCAACATCATCAGCAATCATATTATGCCCCTGCAGGTTCGCATATTCATTCTTTTTTGTCGGTAGCCTCAAACAGCTATTGACCCGACTCTCAACATCTACACACGATGCTCGTTTGACTTGTTGACGGGAAATAGCCTCACCCTCGCTTGGACATAGCAGATTTCGTAGACGGGGGCGCGCAGAAGTCAATGTAGACTGCGCGCAGAAAGCGACCTCAATGTGCCCGCAGAGTTCGACCTCGACCTGTCCGTATAGTTCGACCTCGTCATGTCCGTATAGTTCGACCTTGACGCGTCTGCAGAGGACGCTGGTCGAAGGGTTTGCAGAGGACGCTGGCCGACGAGTCCGTAGAGGAGTTCGGTTCTACGAGACCTTCTCAGTATAGGGGCTCCTCGACGAGGTCGGTATAGGAGCTCCTCTACAAGGCTGGTATAGGAGCTCCTCGACGAGGCTGGTAAAGGGGCTCGTCTAGGCGAAAGCTGCTCGACAGAGCATTCGTCGAGCTACTCTACGAAAGTCGCGAGACAGCGAAATTCGTCATATGGGCGAATGTCGCCCAGGAGGTTTTCGCGAAGTCAACTTGCGGAACTGCATCACGTGCTCGACGATGCACCACTGGCGAAACCGTCGGCACGTGTTCTACCTGGCACCTGCGCAATGTGCTTAGCGGCACGTCCGTCTACCTGCACCTACTTGGTAGGTGCTCACATGCGTAGAAGTTTACCTGCCTCTGCGGCGCTGGAAGACCGCCGGTATACCACGCTATCAGACTACTCTGCTGCAGCGTTGGCAAGCCGCTCTTCTGCTGCGCTGGCATAGTTCGCCCTGTAGAGGGCTTGCTAGGTGTTGTAATGCCATTCTAGCTATATCGACTTGCATGCCTCATTGTAATCTAATGTTCTCTCAATTCCTTAGTGAAACTCTTGCCATATTTCTTTGTGAACATGGCAAGTAGTGAGAACTCCTAGTGCAACGCTACAATCAACCGCACAACCCCGTGCCTTCCTCCGTAGTCTACTCCCGTTGCGTAGTGACTCTCCGCGTGACTAACCCAAGGTTGCTTAGTGAAGGGGGCTTTTAAGTGATTCTCGGCATTTGGCGAATTTCGTCAATGTCGCACCTAGCAAAAAAGGGCTTCGGTCTTTTCTGTTTGACTTCAGTTTTTGTGGTTCATATTGGTTGATAACCACTGCAACTTGTTAGAACTATGCTTTAGGTTGTAGTGGGGCACTCCTTAAGGAGTACAGCCCGATTAGGTTTTGCCTATACAAACCTTGTACTGTCCTGTTTCTAGTTATTCTTCTTTGCTGATTCTGACATGGTTTCAGAGCAGGTTCCCTAGTGGGAACATTTTTTTTAGGGCCCACCACGAACTTTTTTTCCTACCCTGCTTGAAGTGCGCTGCCGTGCCTGCCTGCCCCGTCGCGCGCCTCACGCCTGCCTCGCCTGCGCTCTTGCGCCTACCCTACTGTGCGCCATTCAGGACCTACTCTACCCGCGCAATCGCGCGTCTGCCCTACCCGCTGTCATGCGCCTGCTCTACCTGCCGCACGTCGAGTGCCTGCCCTGCCGTCGCGGCCCTGTAGTCGAGCGCCAGCAGCCACCGTCGCGGCCCTGCCCTGCAGCCGCCGTCGCGGCCCTGCCCTGCCGCCGTAGCGCCTGCAGCCGCTGTCACGGACCTGCCCTGCAGCCACCGTCGCGGCCCTGCCCTGCCGCCGTCGCGCCTGCAGCTGCGGTCGGGGCCCTGCCCTGCAGGCGTCGTCGTGCCTGCAGCCGGTTGCGGCCCTGCCCTGCCGCCGCCGCGCCTGCAGCTGCCGTCGCGGCCTAACCTGACGCCGCCCGTCGAGCGCCGGCCCTACCCATCCGTCGAGTGCCTGCAGCCGCCCGTCGCGCGGCAGGGATGGAGTCTCACTGTTGGACCACACGTCCGGCGTCTCTGTTGCACCTGTTGCGGACGCTGACAGTACAGTTCGCTCGCAGTAGACTACCCGTGACGTTGTTGCTCGCCTTGCTATTCGTAGTCACCTGCCGTTTGCTGAGCGCGCGCACTTTGGCCAGTACAAGACTGCTAAATCTCTGTATGATGCTGTTGTCGCACGCTACTCCTCCCCTGCCTCTGCTGCCCTCAGCCGCCTCATGCTGCCGTGCTTGTTCCCTGACCTAGCCGCGTTTGCCAAAGTCGCTGACCTCATCACTCACCTCCGCACTATTCACACCCGCTACACCGCTGCACTTCCCTCCGAGTTTCGCACCAAGAACCCCCCCCCCCCCCCCCCCCCGATGTACATCACCCTCTTCTACCTAGTCACCCGTCTCCCAAACTCTCTGCGCTTAGTCAGGGACCACTTTCTCTCCCTTTGACCCACTGAGCTCAACGTCGACCTGCTCGAGGAGCGCCTCCTTGCTGCTGAGACTAGCATAGTCGCTGTAGGAGTGTCTCGCGGCGACCCTCGCACCCCTTTCTTTGAGGGGTGCTCTCTCGTTCCCCTTTTGCCCTCTGTTGCTTCTGCTGCTGCCGTCGACCTCGTTGGCACCGAGGCGGTCGGGGCTGCGTCTGCTCCTAGTGGGAGGCGGCGCCGCAACGGCAAGGGCAGGGGGGGCAAGGGTGGTGGAGGGGACGGCGGGGGAGGAGGTGGAGGGGGTGGGGGTGGAGGTGGGGGTGGAGGCGGGAGTGGGGGCGAAGGTGGCAGCGGTGGAGGTGGAGGCGGCGATGGCAGCGGCAGTGGGGGTGGCGGCGGTGGTGGTGCTAGTCGGAGTGGAGCCGTGCAGCGTGGAGGCTTTGGCGGTGGCCAACGCCACCAGCACGTGCGTTCCCATGAGGCCCCGTCACCCCAGCAGCTTCGTGAGTGGTACGCTGGGCATGGGAGGTCTGGGGGTGCTGGTCTCGCGCTTACGTTCTTCGCACAGGCGACCGCCGTGGGGAGACGTGCGGGCTGCCGCACGCTACAGAGCGCTGTTTCAGTCGACTGACTGACGCCTGGCGCGCACAGTTTCCTGACGCTACCGAGCTCCCTCGCTGGGCTGATCTACTTAAGTCAAGTGTTGCTATCTTTGATCTTGATTATGATGCTATCCTTGCTGCCATGAATACTGTGACTATTAGTGCTGAGGGTGACTGTTACATGTGTGTGCCGCCTGACCTAGGCATAGAGGCTACTGCTCTAGGTGCTAGTGAGTCTACTGCTCTAGGTGCTAGTGAGCCTGCTGCTCCAGGTACTGGTGAGTTTGCTCTCTCAGG